TGAAAAAGGAGATCGTTTTAATTCTATCAATCTTCAGCTTATTAATTCATCTCCCATTCTGTTAAAATCCTTGACCCTCTTTTTAACGAACGCTTTTTTCTACGCTTCCTGGTGTGAATCTTCTCCTCTCGAATCACTGATAGGAATCCACAAAGCGAGATTAGTTTCGTTCTCCTTCACATCCGTTTAAGATTTTGTTTTGTTTTTTTCCAGTCCATCTGTTCAAATATCATAAAAGATTAGTCTCTGCATGTCCTCTTGGTCTTGTTCTATAATTTTTAGTTTGTTTGTTTGTATTTAATTACACTACAACACACTTTCAAGACGTGACCCAACCCCTCAAAAAAAACAATAAATAATAATAAGAAGAAAAATAAGGATAATTAACAATATTTCTTACTTACTCCTTACTCCCTGGAATACAATCTATCCACAAATCCTTCCTCATCCACCGAATCCTTCATGCATCAAATGCGCCCAATCATTTCCACATTCCCTCACTCGCTGTCACAATCATAAATCACCTTGATCATCAGACTTGTCGGCCGAGCGGAGGAGGTGCTGTCTTCACAAGGGTAGTTTCCACCGCACTTGGCGTCTGAACAACTCCTGCCTTATTTTAATAGGGTTTTTTTTTTTTTCTTTATCTATTTGTTTATTTGTTTTCCTTTTTTTCTTTCTTTCTTTCTTTCTCTTTGTTTGTTTGTTTCTTTCTTTCTCTCTTTATTTCCTATTTTCCTTATTTTTTTTTTTTTTTTTTTTTCTCTCTCTCTTTCTTTCTTTCTTTCTTTTTTTCATTTTTTTTTCTTTCTTCTTTCTTTCTTTCTTTCTTTCTTTCTTTCTTCCTTCCTTCTTTTCTTTCTTTTTCTTTCTTCTTTCTTTCTTTCTTTCATTCATTATTTTTCTCTCTCTCTCTTTTAGTTATGAAGATGCTTTCCAAAGACTCTTGAGTATTTACATTATTCTCTTGATTTCCTTCTACTTCTATCTGTCTGTTGTTAGAGGTCCTAGCTATTAGTACTTTATATTTTGTTTCTGTGGTTCTCTTTCTCGTCTCTGATTTTTAGTCTACATTCTGGAACTCGTTATACTTTTGTTATATTTATGCTAGAGTATTTTCTACGATTTATATTCAACCCAATTTTTTTTATTTGTATTTTTGTTTTGTTGTGTGTGTGTGTGTGTGTGTCTTCTACAGTAATTTACTCTTACGAAGGATCATCAGCATGTTTCAAATTGCTGATCCATCAAATGACTTCCATTATCATGTCGGCTTATAAAGAGAGAGACGGTCTGTACTTAAAATACCCTTGGATATTGACCCACGGCGAATTACCCACTTTAATGGCTATTTCCTGTCTAATAAAGATTTTCGGACTTGTGGCTGAAAAAAAATTATTCTCACTCTGTTGAAAGCATAAACATAGACAGCAAAGTTAACAAAAGATCCTTTATTTAGGTGATTCGTTGAAATCATTCACAGGTTAGGAATATTATTACGTGTGCCTTTATTTTCGCAAAGAAACTACTTCTTTGTCTCTTGTACGATTGAATAAAATCCCCAGTACCACCCTGGTCGTTAGACATATCGGCCATTGGAGTTGGCATCTGCTTTCTTCAGAATAGTGAAAATTGTCTCTACTAATTCTGGAGGATCTTGTTTGCTAGATTTCGGGCGCTTTTATTAACGCAACTATTATTAAAAAGCAGAAATTTTAATCTGAGCCTGGGGATTTTAAAAGACGCACCTTTGCTCAAAGGACATCATTCATATAATATATATATATATATGTATATGTATATATATATTATATATATATATATATATAATATATATATATATATATACATAGATATAGTATATATATATATATATATATATATAATATATTCTTTCTTTCCTTACGCTTCGAAATAGGTGTCCGATATATATTTTTTTTTTTTTTTTTTTTATGTCATTTTATTCCCTAAAGATTGTGTCATCAACAGAGCACGCATTCCCTCAACCATTGCATTTATTTATTTTATTTTGTCTTTTCAGTTATCAATACTTTTCTCTTCCACTCAACTCAGGATATCACGAATCACCCATTTCTCAGTTGCCTCCACGCGTGTCTTTGAACAGTACCACTAATTCACTTTTATTAACTATCCTTACTACTCTACTATACTATCCTCTACCGACAATCTCCTTTACCAATTTTCTTGGTATGCCCTTCGGAATTTCCAGATTCTCCTTGGGTACATTTGCCTCAAACAATACCCTGTAGATATCCAGAATACAAAACTAAGACGAAATAGCGTCTTCTCAAAATCCTTTCTAAATTCCTGAACCTTCTTCCAGAGTCCGATCCTCTTGAATTTTATTTTCTTTCTATTAAGAGGAGCGAGTTCTTTCAACTAAGTGGGTAGACGCTGAGGGAATCTCCATCCTCTCGTTCCTGCTTCTAATGCCTTTGAATTATTGATTTTACTTCCTTACCTGCGAGTGTTTAGAATT